TTACCACATGGTTGAAAACTTGCTGAAGCTGAGAATAAGGATGATTAGCACCACTTTTGACATAGTAATCAGTGAATTTAGACCTCTGATATCTTACTTATATCAACCTGCTCCTGAAGGGAATCTTGCTGTTCATTAAGTTTTTCTATCCAGCTAGCAAGTAGGCTTTGTTGGTCTAGAAGAAAAAGAAGAATGTTCTCAATCTGTGACATCAAAAAAAAAAGAGTGAATGAGAACTCAATTTTCAAACTTATACCAAAAAATTTTACCTTATACCGAAGTTATTCTTGCATTACAAACCTTTGTTATGAGCATATCACAAACATATACATATGCAATTCCAGTTTACCCTGTTATATTATTGCTTATTACATCTCACAAAAAACACACACACTAAACAGATAATCGAATTGTAGAAGCTTAAGGGGAGAAAAAATTGCATATTTCTGCTGGTCATCAAGACACGCTGTACCAGACAGCATGTGGGAGTATAATATGTTAATTCTCTAAATTTGCACAGGACTATTGAACTGGAACAATTGATATACTTATGGCAGTTAACCTTTTCATCTATACAAACCATAGTTTCATCTACTGATATCAAAACTATAGTTTCATTACAAGTGAATACTTGCCTAACTATTAAAGTATGCATTCCTATAATTTTAATTTCTGTGTCATAAATATAGTGTTAGCCATCAACATTATAGTTATAGCTACAACTCATAATATATATATAACTAACTTTTCCTAATCCTAATCAGGGAACAAAAGTTTCTGTTGTGACTTATGAACAACACATCAAGACCTTCAGCAAATTTCTGCAGCCTTATCAAAGATATTATGTTTCTAATGCAATTGTGGTTCCTGCTGACCCAACATACAGAGTTGGGACTTATGAATGCTCCTGGATTTTGAACTACAAGACTTTGATTGAAAATTATGCTGAACCTGTGCCACCTATGCTGCCTTGCATATTTGAGCTGACAAACTTCTCTGATCTGCACAAATATGCTGATTCAGATAACCTTTGCAGTAATTTTTGTTACATTATTTTTTAATTTACTTGACAGTCATTTGACATTTTATTGATTTCTTACATTCATATCAACACTTTTGTTTCAGATATTAGAGGCTTTGTCATTCACGCATTCCCAATAAAACAGCCAGATCCGGCTTCTATTTCTAGAGACATTATAATAGTGAATGAAGAGTAATCAAACCTGAATACTACCATTTTATTAACTCATTTTAGATTAATGGCAGTAGTTATAATTTATTTGTTATACCTGACAGGAAGAAACTGATGCTTATGACTCTCTGGAATGAATTTGAACATGATGAAGGGAGCAAAATAGCAGACATGATTAGCACTGCCCCTCTAATCATAGCTCTCCGTGTTAAAGTTACCACATTCAACAGTAAATTTTTCATTATGCATTATGATTTCTTTATTGTGTGTCTTTTAAGTACTTGATGTTATAATTACTAAACCATTTCATCATTTTTACAGCTTTGTCATTCACTACAAGGTATTCATCTGGAATTCTGATTAGTCCTCCACTTCCAGATGACCTATCTTTGAGGCAATGGTAAGTATAATTTTCTTTTTAGTTTTTTCCATAAATTATCAACTTATTTTACTGATAAATTTTGTATTTGTGCTCTAAACATAATCATTCAGGTTCAGCTTGAACAAGGAAGAAATCAGGAATTTGCTTGATGCTAAAACATACAATGATGCAAACTGTTTACTTCCTCCTCCAAATGAAGAAGATATCAAAGCAATCAGCAATTTTCAGGCATCATTTCCAGTTGTAAGTACCATATTGTTATTCTACAATTTTGGTTAAATATAACTATTTTCTGTCTAATTCACATTCAAATACCATTCATGGTTGCCTGCCTCAGCAAAAGGCAGCTTGGGTGCAAGGAACTGTCAAACTTGCATATGGATTCAGCAAATATTGGACTACAGCTTGTGCGAATTGTCACAAAATTGTGAATGCTGACATTGACTGGATCATCCACTGTCCTTCATGCAAACAGCAAAGTGAAGTTGAACTCAGGTTAGATCATTAACTTATGCTTCTAAATTAAATATTATTCGCATTTGTTACCATATATTAATCTTAATTCCTCCACTCAATTAAAGGGCTCGCATTCCAATTATTATAACTGATGCTTCGAGCTCAATACATTGCATTATATCTGGAGAAGATGCTGAAAAATTGATTGAGTTCACTCCATTGCAGCTTAAACAAGCACAAGAAGATGTAAGTATGAATTTTCTGTCTTATATTCAGGCATAAATACAGATATACATAGAAAGGAATTCGCTGAACCTAACTAAAAAAATTTTCTGGTGCAGGGCTTTCAAATAGATACTGAACTTAATGATGCCTTGAAAAAGTACACAGTGGTCTGTTTTCTGAAATCCTATGAGACTCCTTTCCAAGGTCAACTGCAGAAAAAGAATACTGTCATCAAGGCTTATACTGCAGCTGAACTATCAGACCGTCCCCTTCCTCTGGAACTTCCAGAAAACACTCAAGTTTCTTCTGCACTTGGCAGTTCATCAGCAAGGCATGCAGAAACATCATCAAAGGATCAATTGTTCACACCAAGCACAAAGTTGCTACTTGAAGAAATTGCTGGAGCCAGTTCTTACAAAGACAGCCAGACATCTGCAACCAGTGGAGCAAAAAGAAGCCTTGAATTTCCAGAAGATTTACCAGCAGACACAGATCCTAAACAACCAACAAAGGCTCCTGAAGAGTTTGCCAAAGAACCTGCAGCCGGAAGCAACACTAATGCATCATTCCCACTTACAGCTCTCTTTCTCTTCGTTGCGTCCTGCGTCCTATCTGGAGCAGGGTTCTGAACATTAACTGGACAATGCCTTGAATTGCAGATGACGATTAGTATCGTAATAATGTCTCCTTTCTCTGCCATGAAGGAACAGAAGACCATTGATTCCACATTCTTTCTTCCTCGTGTTCAATTCTTGGAGTGACGGTGATAGGCCTAGTGTGTGTGTGCGTGTTTTAATACATATAAAAAATCTGCTTTTGGGATTTGATTTAGTAGGAGTCGGATGGCTACTACTGCTGTACCTGGATTAATTATTTATGAATAGACAGTATCTATTACTTTCTTTTGTCATCACAAGAAGATGAGCCGAACCCATTATTGAGAATCAATTTGTATATTCAATCTATTAGCATACATCTGGCTTTTAAGAACTTCAAAACATGGCAATAATCAGATTAATGAGGCAGATAAGTGGCATCAACCCCAAAATGGACCGAAATCTGATCCATCACCTTGCACCAGTCCTACATACCGCGTTTCATCCGCAACTCCGACAGACTGATACCACGACCCTTTAAACCGTTTGATTTGTGGCTTAATTAATTGTTAAAGTTAATTAATTTCATCCCCGCCACTACGAGACATTTTTTGGGCAGTATTCAGTAACCAATCGGGTGAAACTAGAATGGACTGACATCGGGGTCAAAACTGTGGTGTGGATCATTGTAAAATGCCGGCGTTGAAGCCGGCATTGCGCCTTATGCCTGAAAAGGCCCAAACTCGAGACATTTCATTTGTTGCGATATTGATATATACAAAGTACTTTGGCAGCACTTGGTTTTCGAACTTAAAACGATCCCAACTTCCGTGGCCGGTTGCAAACCCGCCAATGGGAATGTAATATTGTTGTGTTCTTCAGAAAGACTTGATCAAAACAAGGACCTTTTTTTTTTTCAATCCTTCATCGGTATCTTCAAAATTTTCAGAATAGTGTTAAACCAATATATGCATGTGGTTGTAATTTTTTTTTTTTTTTTCACTTAGGAATATCCTAATCTTTTGATCATGCTAATTCTCTAAAACTATGTAGAGTCTTGTCTAACAATAAAGCCATTACATTCTTCATCTTCTAGGGTATGGGTGGATCATACCACCAATATATATATATATATATATATCAGAAGCTCCATGTTTCTGGAAAATGACCAATTCCTAGCTCAGAATTGGAAAATCTGTTCAATTAACTACTCATTATTTACACCAAAAAATAACCACATCGTTTTTGTAGTCATCAAATCTTCTCAAAGGATTTGACTCTGTACATGAAGTTACTACTCAACACTCTTCATGGCAAAGGCACTGCACAGTTAGACCTCCATTGTAATATCCGTCATTTCCTCAATAAACTTCTGTTGCTGATTCCGAAGGATTCCAGGCCACATTCTTTAAAAAGCTATCACTAGTCGAGCTTGAAGTTGCTTTGCCCTAATTCCTCCTCGGGTACCTTTCAATGGAATGATTTTGCAGATGATGCTGGGAATTTAAGCAAATCTCCTTTTTGCATATAAACCCTACCTTTCAAGTTTTGCAAATCACATGCCATATAGTTGTAGGCTCAGTAAACATTTTGATTGAGATGTTGAGCGCCTAGTTTCCATTTTAAATATTATTTTTCTGCCTTTTATTCAAGCCAAGTATAGAAAAAGAAAAGAAAGCAATTTCTCAGAACTCATAATCCCTGATTTCCAACTCTGATTACGGGCAAAAGCAATAATTCGTCTTGCATATGTTATTGAAAAAGTCGATTTGGTGCGAGAGGACCCTATTCTTGCTCACTAATTGATGAATTGGACGACTACCTACTCCCGTCAAAGAGTAGAGTCAAGTATCCATTCAGTTGTAAGGTACAACTAAGAAGTTCACCAAATACATAATTTAAAACTCTCGCTATCGCAATGACATAACAAGCTTCGTAATGTACAATTCCAAAACTTGGCTTTCGAAACCATTTTCCTGAATTTATTTGTCACTTAATCTTCAACATCTTCGCCAGTTCAGTTAACTAAGATACATTGATTTAGGAAAAGTTGGCCAACCAGATTACCAATCAATACCATCTCCCCTCGAAATTTCTTGTATAAATGCATTGCCATGTTTCGGTTGCCAGCACCCCATTCCCAGTTCTGACAATCAACACACCTTGATTTCAAGCCTAACTGCTTAAACCATTTTCTCCCTAATTTTCCTGGAAGAAGTTGACACAATATTCATCATGGCATCGAAAAGAACTGAGACGTGCTTGGTCCTGGTTCTGGTGCTCATGCTATCGCTGTGGAGTGGAGCAAAAGCTCAATCAGTTTCAAGCTGCGCTAGCACACTCGTGGGCTTGTCCCCATGTCTAAGTTATGTCACCGGAAATTCATCAACACCATCTCCAGCGTGTTGTACACAGCTTGCCGGCGTGGTTCAATCGGCCCCGCGTTGCCTTTGTACTCTGACCAATGGAGCCAGCAATTTTATGGGTCTCAATATCAATCAAACTCTTGCCCTCGCACTTCCTGGAGCCTGCAACGTGCGAACCCCTCCAATTAGCCAGTGCAATTGTCAGCTCCTTTTTTTTTTTGACTAAATGATCATACTGTTTTATACGATTATTATGTAATGAGTAATGATTTTGAATGGGCTAACGATACCGCTGTTCACAGCTGCTGCTAATGGACCAGCAAGCTCTCCAGCAAGTTCGCCAGCGGCTGCCCCTGCGGCAACCTCTCCAGCAAGTCCTTCAGCGGAAGCTCCTAAGACAACCCCGGAGAGTCCAACCACACTTCCGGCAAATCCAACTACAGCTCCTCCCCTTCCTTCAGGTACACAAAACAGTTCCAAGCATAAATGCAATTATTAATTTTCCCCTGAAGTTTCAAGTTACCAGCAAGTCTTGCGTAACTACTTCGACTTATTTCTTTCCGACTGTCCTCTCCAAAACCAGTTAATTAAAGCTTAATCTTCCATCTACTTTTCCGGCGAGAAAAGAAAAGAAATGCATGTAACTAAACTAGTTCAATGCACCAATAATATGATGCAGGAACAGCATCAAAGGCAGTCCCAGCAGCCCCTGGAAGCACATCTGATGGAAGCCTCGTGAAGCCAGCTCTTTTCCTCCTCCTCGCTGCATTGGCTTCAACTGCTGTCTTCGATTTGTGAACTTCTTAATTGCGGACTTGATTCATTCTCGATCTGTTATTGCTAATGAGCGGCCCCATCCCCCCATCTTTCCAGCTGACCAAGTGGTGGTTATTTATAGTAATTTCTTCTCCTCTGGCCTAGAGGCCACTTCGGGGTTACCTATTTGTAATTGCTGCTTATTTCTATGGAATTTCACGAAATTTGTTGTGTGTTGAATGAATAAAAGAACATGGATTATTTTTTCACGAAATCTGTTATCCTATTTTTGGCTAAATGGCCCTAGATAGAACCCATAAACGTACATGGGACATGTTTCATAAACATTGGCATTGGCCAAGATGAAAGCATTCGCCGGCAGTTCTGTAAGAAGTGTTGAAAATCCATTTCTGCAGCCATTTGTCACAAGGCAGTACTATGAAACTCTCAAGAATGCAATGACACTTGTGAGAATCATATTTTGCTTATGCTAGATATAGAATGTGGAAATATAGGCAAACTAATTTAGTCAACCATACACAAAGTTGAATCAATACTTGTTTAGAGTCTAGCCATATTTGTCCAACGGTCAAATCTGTTCGCAAATGCTGAGGAAAAACGAAGTTTCTTTTTTTTTTTTTTTGCCCATGAGATTGCCGTTAAGTAAGTCACGTAAATATTCCAAACTCTACAAACTTTATCTGATACATAGATAAAGAAATTTTAAGGCATCAAACCCCCGAACCCACCTCTCTGAGAAATTTTATCTGATGGATATGGAATTTGATTGGTAAGTAGTTCAACTCAACCATGGGTTGCATCAAGAATTTTTAATAAAGTCGATGTCATCTTGTGAGATTGCAGTCTCCTTGTACCATAATTCGACTAATCTGAATTGATACCACATAATTTTTTTTTTTTTTAAATCTGAAATCTTTGAATGGTGTCTGCACGGTTTGCACCGCAGTGAATGAATGGTGTTGAGATGTCTTGCATTAGATCTTCGACCTTCGCTGAGTTGTTCGGGCGTCTCGCTGTCTAGTCAGCGAGTCGGGGGTCCAGGGAGCGACGCGCCCCAGCTGGGGGGCCCAGGGAGCCCAGTCTATTTGGTTGTATATATATACACCTTATTTTAGTTTGTAAACTATTTCAATTACAACTCTAATACAATCTGATTTCTCCCAAGTTGTTCTTGTTTGTTTTTCTGTTCCGCTGCATCTGTTATAACAAATGGCCAAGCCTCTTTACCCAGAAAAAAAACAAGAAGAAGAAGAAGAAGAGGGAAAGTCCAGTACGTACGCGCATGGTACATACGCTCTGGACGTTATTGGCTTTTACAATCAAACGAAAGAAGCAATCAAAAATAAAACAAAAATAATCGTACAAGCTTGTGTTGGAAACGTGTAATGGTCCAATATTAAAAAAATGTTTCAATTCACAAATAAATCTACGAGGTCACACGCATTCATAACCTTCTCGAAGTAAATTGTTTGAAAAAGGCGACAAATTTTGTTGTTTACCAAAGTATCTATAAGAAAGCGGAATAAGTTTGTGATCCAAAAGGCCTTTGATCCTCTGTCTTTCACTCTGTTTCGGTAAATCACAAAGAAATTTCAGTGGCAAATCCGTATCCCATTTAACTTTCAGAATTCCAGAAAGCCGTGCATACTCCGCAATATTCCACATTGACAACTTTCAACAATTAGAAGCCTAAAGTATCAGATAAGATGAGACGGCACTGGCAGAATGCAGACATTCTTACAGTACTTTCATCAACGATGGCTCAATCAGATTGCAGCAATGTGATAGTTAGCTTAGCACTACCATGCTTTGACTACACATAAGGGAACTCCTCAGCCCCCTCTTCGGCGTGCTGCACTCATCTTGCTAGTGTTGCCGTTGTCTGATCACAAGCCCGACGTCTGTGGCGGGTCGTCATCGGAGTGTTAGCATTTAGCTGAATCGGGCCTTGGAACTTCCCCACGTCTTGCAATGTGCCCAACCCCTTCATTACCCGTTGCTATGGTACTATAGAAAATCAAAGGGGCCTCTTCGGAGACATCCGACCACTGGGGACGGTTCCTTGAGGGGAGGGCTCCATTGGAAGTACCAAGTAAGGTAGGAGCGCTCATGCAATCTTTCCCACTGTTACGTTCACAGTTAGATTTTGTGTGTGGAGATTGAGAATGAGAATGAGAATGAGAAAGATGTAAGGAGGGATGTGATAGTATATATATATTATGGGATTAAAAACGAATCAAACTGAGTCAAGTTTTGCTTTAAATGAGGAGAGCGGGACTTGATTTGGACTAAGTATAAATTTAAATTCAAAGTTGACGAACTCTCGTTCTAAAACTTGAGTTCGAGCTAGATCTTCAATTCAAGAGTACTCGAACTCGTTCGAGTGTATTTGATTTCAAATAAAATAAAAATGATTTTTATATATTTTTAAAATGGATAAAATAGACATTTTACCCTATTAAATAATAAAAATATAGGGGATATGATTGTAATTTCACTATTAAAACTATACAAATTCGAGCTGGCCAAGTTGACTATCTGTGTACTCGACTCAGCTCGATTAGCTCGTCAAACTAACTTAAGTTCAACTCGATATCGATGTTGATTTCTAAATTATAAATCATTTTTAAGAATATGTTTGGGTTCCATAAAAATATATACTAAACTTACACTGTGTTTAAAATGATTTACACTCTTTTATTTTTGTTGTTAAGAAAATGATTTACATTCTGAATAAACCTATTTACCCCTTGTTGAAATGTGTATTTATATTAGGTTACAAATTCCGGCCCCGGTTCGTCCCAGAAGGGTAAGTAGCAGGCATTAAATTTCCAATTACGTACGAAAACCCATTAAGAGTCCGTCTCCAAATTCGTATTAACCACTCACAATAACCATTGAAACACCAGTACTTAGTGCGTAGCAGGGTTACGAACAGTTCAAAGCGAATCTTGAGCACTCGCAAGTCAGCGTTCGACTTAAAATTTTTTGTTTTCTTGGCCAACCCTAACCCTTCCAGGAATACGGTTCCTGCCCCAAATTCATAGAGTCCTTCTGGACCATCAGCCTCTAGACTATAACGACAATCCCTAAGGTACGTGAGCGAGTGTTTTCCCATTTTCTGCCATCTTTCTGTCCGTACGAATTCTTCGTATCTGAATGCATAGATGACACAACATGTGGCTTATTAACATAACGTTTGATGCGGGGATTTCGACATAATGTTTCAACTACTGATAAGAATGTTGCACGTCTCAACTCCCGATTGCAGTAACGAGTTTTCTCTACTAAATGATCAATGGAGATCACGAAATGCCTCAGTTTATTTATTGTGCCTGAGTAGTGACAAGTGCCAATCATTCCATCCCATTTCTCATCAACTTTGAGTTTACGCAGGCGGATCCAGTTCATCAAGCGATGGAGGGGCACCAAGCAAGCTGTCCTCTCCTCAGCTCTTATACAATGGAGTCTATTTGAAGAGCCATGGCATCAATTGCCTGAGTGAGTTTTTGTCCACTTCCATCTCAGATGCTTCTCCTTCTCCACATCGCTAATTGACTCGGACCTGCCCTTTGCTGGTGTATAACATGACAGTCGTGAAGAAGATCTTCCACTCGTGAATGCTATGCTATTGCTAGGTCTCGTATATTTATATATGTTTCATACAGGAACTACCGTTGACCGAAGATTTGACCTTCAAAGTTGTGGAAACAAGTAAGATGGAATCATGGTGGTTGTTAATTTATAGCGTTTTATACATATATAATCAAATAGACCTTGCCTTACAGTTTATCCCCTTGGCCCTTGTATGGTATTTTTGTTGTTTCAGATTTCAGTGAGCGCACCCCGCCCCTGACCCCACCACATCTTCTTGGATGTGATGAAAGATATCACCCCAAATTCATGTTTTTGCCAAATATGCAGGCTGGCTTGCTAAAAACAGACGCTTCTACTGGTCTGTGCAATTGATGCTAGACATTAGAAACACGGCACAAGGAGAAAAGATGACATCAATTTGTCCACAAAAGTACAGATTAATAGAATTGAAACTCGTAATATCCAAATAAAAATATATGAGAAGTGGTTTTTTTTCTTTAGCAGTGTACGCTCTTATTGTCTAGAATCACAACTTTTTGGTTAATAATATTTTTTTTTCAGAGTCGATAATTGTTATATAATTTAATCTATTCTACACTATGGGCAGGAGACGGATCTAAAAAGGTTCAGAAATAATTCAGAGGGAATTGAATCACCGCTGAATCAAACGGGTGCACTACGCATCCGTCTAAATTTTTTTAAACAAAACTATTTTTAATGTGATAATTAGTGGAAGGCAAGGAGCCTCCCACCCTGTCAAGCTTTAATACTTTAATGGTGGCCACTGATCAAAGACCGGTGGTGGTTAACTTTTTGGTTAATAGGAAGTCAAAATTTTCATGGGACATAAAAAGTCACTTGGCACTTGTACCATATGGTACAACTATATAAATGCTGAATGTGACAACTTTAGTGCCCCATAATCCTCACTGGAACCAGCTTGCACTCCTCCCCTCCAAATCAAACAGAAATAAATACCTTTGTTAATCCTACACATACAAAGACGATTAGTAGTAGTCGTAGACTCGTAGAGTAGAAAAATTATCAATTAAAAAGAGAGAGAGAGAGAGAGAGAGAGAGAGAGGGAGGTCAAAACAAAAAAGCCAAAAAGAAATATAGAAATAAGGAGCAAAAATTCATGTAAACAGTCAACTGGAAGAAACGTGTTTTACAAAGTCCCAATCCGGGGTTGTCCAAAATTCTAAATAACTTACACGGACGGCATGGAATATCCGCATAGCGCACTCAAATTCTGTTGTTAAAAAAAAGTTTTTTTTTTTTTTTTCAAAGTCTGTGGTAATTTTGTCTGTTTAGGGTAAAATAAACCAAAATCTTCTAGGATTGGGGATGACATTTTTCACATTTTTTTTTAATTAAATATATAATATATGAGTAAAATTTTAATTTTAAATAAATTATCCTGTATCCAATACTGATGATATATATATACTATCAATCTATAAAAAAAGTTTATCCTTTTTACACATAAACTACACACAAATACAACACCCACAAGCATTTTCTTGCGTTTCCCTTTTCCTTATTACTACTAGTTTTGTTATTGCTTCTTGAATTAAATTAAAGCAACCGAAAATTCAAGTCAGAGAGTAAGGAACAAGAGCCTCCCAACGCAC